TAATTACAGTTTCGCTTCCCGTCATCGATGAGTATGAATGCCATCTTTTCCAGCTCCCTCAGTCAGCAGCCTGTCCTCCTTCGTGATGCTCCCCCTCCCCGAAGATGAGGTCGCCGTCCAGCTCCAGAAACTGGTGGATCAGTGTCGCCATGGCAACAACTACTGCAAACAAGTCCTCAGCCTCTACCAGCTCTGCAAGGTATCTAACCGGGTGATTTGATAACGTTCCTGCAGAAGCGTCTGCTCTGCTTGTTTCTTTCTAAACCTGTGTGAAGTTCACCGGAGCGTCCCTCCCGTCTCCTCAGGAGCTGCAGTGCTCCTTCAGCAGCGTCTGCGGGGAGGAGCCCTGCTCGGTGCTGGAGAAGCTGCTGCTGTCCGAGCAGCCGGAGCGCTTCAGGAAGGCTCGGGCCTTCGTCAAAGCTCAGGGTCTGTCTGCGGACGCCGTGGCTGAGCTCATTTCCTCCGCTATGGTTCAGGCGCTGCTGGCCTCCAGCCAGGAGCTGCATCCAGGTGAGAGAGCGCGTCTCAGGTTTGAAACGTTCTCCAATGTTAGGCCTCAGTATCCAGGTAATGTGTGTGTGTGTGTGTGTGTGTGTGTGTGTGTGTTAGTGGTGGAAAAGCACATTTTCAGACCGTTGGAGGGCAGGGACGCGCTGGTGCAGCTGATCAAACTGTGTGACGACCCGAACCTGGTGGGACTCAAACTGCTGGAGCACCTCAACTCTGTTCCTCTGAGGGACCTGAACTGCAGTACGACAAACACACACACAAATACACCTCTAGTGTAAATGTTTTGTTGTGTTCTGCTGCCCCCAAGAGGCCACAAAGCAAATGAACAGAAGCAGGAAATGTTCTTGATTTAAATGTTTACCTTGTTAAGGCGTCGTCCTGTCATGCACACTAATGCACAGTATGCAAACCCACGCTCTCACATTTACACACGTACTCGTAAACAGTGACAAAGTATAAAAGCTTCACATGACAAACTGTGATAATAAAACTGTGGGATGAGTTTTGCACATTCAGATGAGTCTGATCAGGATGCTTCAAGTTCTTCCATTTCCAGCTGGGAGGTGGCTTTACGAGGCTCGCCGTCTTATTTTGAAAAGAACCGAAAGCCCCCTTCCTTTTTGTCTCCTGTAGTTGTGGAGCTGCTGATCATGGCGCACGACTGTTTCAGTCTCACCTGCAACATGGAGGGGATCGTGAGAGTGCTCCAAGCCGCCCGTCACCTCAGCCACACCTACCTGGCTCCA